AAAAGGGGAGATATTAGGATTACCACTTACTTCCCTGGAGGAAAGGCCTCTCTGGAACTGGAGATAAGAGCTCTGAGAAGTGCATGCTGCCTGGTTACCTCTAAGCGGGTGATGAGACTTATTCTGGTGGTGCTACAAAAAGCTAGGCCAATACAAGAACAGGACAAAGTCAGAAAGAAGTCACTTCTCCCCTCCTCCTACCTTTTAATTTTTCTTTTGTGCCTCCTATTTGCAGAATTTTACAGATCATCAACTAGCAAAGGAGTCTGGGAAATGTAATTTGCAAAGTCCCCTTCCTAGCATCACCGAACAGCTTATAAAAGGGTCAATTTGAGGTTGAGAAACGATAGGTAAATGATCAGCTCAGTAAGCTCAGGAGCATAACTTTCCAATTTTTTTCATCTTTTTGTTTTTCCTTTCCATGTTACAGTAAGGGAAGAAGTCAGCATCACCGTACATCACAGCTGGAGGAGACAACATAGCTCTGGCTTTCTTTAGTAACCTCACCACTCTGCCAGGTGTCCAAGTCCCTCCTTGGACCTCAATAAGACTTAAGCCATTGCTACATCTGAATTGGACAGTATAGATGTGGCATTGCTGGTTGGAGGCAGAGTGAAACTGCTGGACTCAGATGGCAATCTGTTGATACGCTGGGTCCATGCCTGGTGCCAGCTGGCAGAGTCAGTGTGGACCAGAGCCTGGAGTTTCCCCTCGTGAAGGCTGGGAGGCTGGCTGGCCAGGAAGCCTCACAGTAATCCGTAGTCCGCTCACCTGGCACTTCTCGGACACTAGATTCCTACTTTCTGTAACATTTTTGCCCTAGGTTTACGCACCAAGCACCGGTCCCTATCTCAATCTCACCCCACATCCTTTCTATCCTACCCTTTTTTTAAAATATAGCCACACAAATCAAATGCTCTACTCTTGAATTTCTTTCACAACAGATCTTGACAGCCCATTAAAACTCATGCTTAGGGCTGGGCGCGGTGGCTCACGCCTGTAATCCTAGCACTCTGGGAGGCCGAGGCAGAAGGATTGTGCTTGAGGTTAGGAGTTCAAGACCAGCCTGAGCAAGAGTGAGACCCCCGTCTCTACTCAAAATAGAAAAAATTAGCCAGGCGTGGTGGTCCATGCCTATAGTCCCAGCTACTCGGGAGGCTGAGGCAGGAGGATCGCTTGAGCCCAGGAGTTTGAGGTTGCTGTGAGCTAGGCTGACGCCATGGCACTCTACCCCAGGCAACAGAGCAAGACTCTGTCTCAGAACAACAACAGAAATATTGTCATTTTTGTTTTTAAATTTCAGAATATTACGGGGGTACAAACGTTTAGGTTACATATATTGCCTTTGCATTGCCCAAGTGAGAGCTACAAGCATGCTCATCCCCCAGACAGTGCACACCACACCCAATAGGCGTGAATTTACCCATCCCCTCTTCCCCCAAGATTGGCATCTTTAGGAATTTTTTCCTGGTGATCTAGAACAGGAATTATGAGCTTGAGCTGCTGGGCAATGTCTACTTTCTTTGCTCATATTAATTTAAAAATCCATAATCTCCTTTTCTTGGGTGGTTGTCTAGCTTATCCCAATTTTCAACATTCCCAAATGCTGGCTGATCTTCAGAATCACCTGGGAGACTAATAAAAAACACAGAATCCTGTGCTCCATCCCTTGTCATTCCTATTCAGAAAACCTAAAACGGGATTTCAAAAACCTCGTATTTAAACTTTTTTCTTTTCTTTTTTTTTTTTTTTTGAGACAGAGTCTCACTCTGTTGCCTGGGCTAGAGTGCCGTGGCGTCAGCCTAGCTCACAGCAACCTCAAACTCCTGGGCTCAAGCAATCTTTCTGCCTCAGCCTCCTGAGTAGCTGGGACTACAGACATGCGCCACCATGCCCAGCTAATTTTTTCTATATAGATTTTTAGTTGTCCGATTAATTTCTTTCTATTTTTAGTAGAGACGGGGTCTCGCTCTTGCTCAGGCTGGTCTCGAACTCCTGACCTTGAGTGATCCACCTGCCTCGGCCTCCCAGAGTGCTAGGATTACAGGCGTGAGCCACTGCGCCTGGCCTTAAACTTTTTTCTTACAGAAAGTTTGAAACATATATAAAGTAAAAGGAATAGTATAAAGAACTCCCACATGCTCATCATCTAATTTCTATAATAATTGGTACAATATCTTTTTTTTTTTTTTCTTTAGGATTCAGAGAACTGGTAAAACTACTGGTGATACTAAATTCATGATTATTTTTGTGAGTTATTGAAATGCATTCATGTTATGTCTATATAGTAAAGACAAATAATGAAGCATATCTATATTACGTAACTATTACTGTGTCACAAATTACTCCCAAACTTGAGGCGCTTAAAATAAACATTTATTATCTCACATTGTTGCTGAGGTGAGAATTTCAGAGCTTATCTGGATGGTTCTGGCTCAGGGTTTCTCATGAGGTTGTAGTCAAGATTTTGGCCAGGTCTGGAGTTGTTTGAAAGCCTTGATGATGTTGGAGTTTTTGCTTCAAAGCTGACTCAGCTGCTGGAAGGAGGCTCCAGCCCCTTACCAAGGGAATCTCTCTGTAAGTCTGACACATACATAGCAGCCAGCTTCTACCAGAGTGAGTGACCCACAACAGAGGGAGTACAAGAGAGCAATCAAAATGCCAAAATTGTCTCACAACCTAATCTCAGAAGTGAAATATCATCACTTTTACTCTATTCTGTTGATCACTCAGACCGACCTTGGTACTAGGTGGGGGTGATATACAAGAGTGTGAAACCAGGAGCTGGGAGTCACTGGGGGCCATCTCAGAGGTTGCCTATCACAATACATAACTTTATGTTGGAAAAAACAAAACAAAACTCCATAAAATCTACCTATCATTTTTAAAAACAATTAAAAAATTCTATGTAATACAATTATTAGCCCTAAAGCTTGTCAGAGTAAACACACTAAACTTGAGTTATTGACTGTGCACAAGAAAAAAAAAGTTGGTTGACACATATGCATAAGATTAACCTTATTAATTTCATTAGGTGTCAGAAGCATTGAATCTTTCAGGTTTTATTTGATTAAAATATCTGCTTATAGAATTCTTTATATGGTCAGAAATGGCTTCCTCAGAATGAACATTTTTAATCAGCTCTGGTTTGGTTTCTTGAGACATTTCATAAGTTAATGTTAACAAGTAAACATCCTTTGAAAGTAAGTGAGTTTCTCTAAGTTTTGGTCCAGTTTAAAGACATAGGATCCTCTAACGTTGCCTGAACACTGAGCTATATTTGGGAAGTTGGCATACAGAGGGGTCTGTCTTGGATTAGGTCTCAAAATACCTAAAGGATTTCCTTAAACAGGCCCAGGGTCAGATATAACAGGTGCATCACTTCTAATTTTGGAACCAGAAGTAGCCAGTTTAGAGTGAGGCTGTACTGCACTCATTCAGCAGGAATTTAGATATTACTTTACTTGGAATTTCTCTGTGGGTTTAAAAGGCAGGCCATGTTGTTAGTAGTGGCAATACTCTGCAATTTTTTTGGAGCAGAATGAGAAGTATACGCAATGTAAGTATATTTTTAAAAAAGCAACAGGTTTGACCTGAAACTGTATTTTTCTAAAAGTGATTCTAACGTGTTTCTTCTCTACAACGTGGAAAAAAATTAATATTGGGACAGGAATAATTTTTCATTTTGGTAACAGTAACTTTTGTATTCTCTAAAAACAGCACAATTGGAGATAGAATATTTAAACGTTAAGAAATCAAAGTTAGATGCTCCAATGACTAATTGCTTGCCCTTAAAATACTGAAGAAAAGTGTCTGACATTATTTTTAAAGCTATTTATGTTGACCTGGCCTGCCTTGCCCCTATTCCAAGGTATTTGACTATATGTCTCTAAACCTATATAGTAGCCTTCCACATTTCTCTTCTCCCTCCCCTCCACAGTGGCGTAAAGATTGGAGTAGTTCTTATGATTAACCATTTATTTAAATAAGGGCAACAGCTGCGGTTGTATTTCAGCAAAATAAAATTCTGGTTTCACAGAAGCACGCTGGATAAATTCTGGGTTCTGAAGCATAACCTGACTGTGCCAATTCCTTGTCATTCAACATGGGAGGGTGGGAAGTTGAGCCGGAAGCCTCGAGCACTGCTGGAACCACGGCAAATCCAACATGTTACTGAACAATTACAAGATGAATTTTTTAAGGAAAAAAAAAAAATCTAACTTCTGACGCTGACATCTCTTTGTGTTGGGATGTTCAGCTACAGTGACAGGGTGAACAAATATGTCTTTGGCAAAGGCATCATCTTGCCATGGTGCGGGAGCCGTACTATAATTTCTAATAGGAATCAGCATTCCACGGTTGATTTATGGACAGTGTGTGTCGTCCTGCACCGTGCCAGGAGCCTGCGCCAATTAGCTCTATTTTCTGCTTAAGCTGTTAAAGCCACCTCCATGGAAACGCCAGGAGAGCAGGCCGGGGGGAGGGGAGCAGACAGGTGCGCCCTCTGTTAGGAAATACACAAAGGGCCGACATTGCCGCAGCTGTGTCCCTGGCAACTCCACGCAAGCAGGGCGCGCGCACTTCCCGCGGCGCAGCGGGCGGCCGGGCGGCCGGGGCGGCGCACGCAGGTCGCCCCACGTCGGCTGGCGGAGACCCTCGGCCTGCTCGGACGCGGGGCCAGGGCAGCGCGAAGCCGGCTCCAGGCGGCGGCGGCGGCGCCCGCGCTGTAGGGACTTGTAGTCCTCGTGCCTCCCAGGCACCTCCCCCTGGGTAGGCCGGGCCGCGCGTCCCCGCCCGCCGCAATCCGACGTCCTGCGGCTGCCAAAACTACACCTCCCGCCGTCCTCTCCGCTGTCGGGCCGAAAGCGAAAACAATTTCTGGGCTGCGAGGTGCTGCCCTCCGCCGGGCGCCCCCACCCGCTCCCCGCCCCTCCGGCGCCCTCCAGCGAGGTGGGGAAGCGAAAGGCCGCGTCTTTCCTTTTTGGTTTCCTCGGCTCCCAGCGTGGGGAGCGCGCGGGGGACTCAGGCCTCGCTTCACCTGAGCCGGCCCAGCGTGCGCGCCGCGGGCGGGGGCTGCCTCGCTTCACCCCAGTTGGGACGAGGAAACTTGTCGAGGCGGCGACCGCGGGCCCGGTTCCGGAGCCGGGCGGCAAGGCCGTCGGGAAGTGACTTCTCACTCTCGGGGCTTTCTTTAATCCCCCACCCCACCCCCGCCCCGCTCTCCTCGGGCGCGTGGTCCCTCCGGGGCGGCGGCCGCGTGCGGACAGCCATGCATTAGGCAGGGCTCCCCTATGCGCCCGGAGAGTGCCGACCGCTGCCTCGGGCCGCCGCCGCCTGCTGCCCCTCGCGGAGCCCGAGCCGGAGCCGCCGCCGCCTGCCCCAAGCCGGGGCGTCGAGCAGCCGGCGGCGCGGCCATGTGGGGTTAGCCCTCGCCGCGCCTGACTGCAGCAGGACCAGCAACATGGAGGCTGCCGTCGGCGCCCCCGACGGCGGGGACCAGGGCGGCGCGGGGCCCCGCGAGGACGCGACGCCCATGGACGCCTATCTGCGGAAACTGGGCTTGTATCGGAAACTGGTAGCCAAGGACGGGTCGTGCCTGTTCCGGGCCGTGGCAGAGCAGGTAATTGGCGGGGGCGAGGGGCGGCGGGTCTGGGTGGGGAAGCAGCTGCGGGCAGCTGTCCGGGCCGCCCACGTCCGGGCCGCGCGTGCCCCCGCTGTCGTCACAGCCGCCCATTGTAACGCTGGAATGGGGCGCTGCTTTGGGTCTGAAAGGTGCAAATCGAAACTTAAAAAGCCCGTAAAATTAACTGGATGTCGTCCCTCCTGGTGAAGAGGTAATGAGTTGAGGACAACTTGTGAGGCCTGCTCGGTGCTTATACACTTGATTTATTGCTTGGTTTGACCTGGCGACGTGCTGTTTTTCATTTCTGTTCCGCATTCACCGTCCCCTCGCTTTATAAGCACCGCGTTCACCTCAGTAAACCGAATGTTTACTAGAGGAGGTGGTGGGCCAAACTTTACTTGTGGAACATGTGTTTTTCTGCTGCTGGACTTTGGAATGGGGGTAATCAGGTCCGCCGATGTCACTTGAGTCAAGAGGGCAAACTTTGCCATTTGGGAAAATCAACCTTTTACAAGTGTAGGATATTTTGCAGGAATTGTCTTTGAGTAGATTCCACGCTTTATTATTCTCTGCAAGGCACTGCAGGTATACTAAAAAGAATTTGCTTTTATTAAAGTCTTTTTGGTGTTAGGAAGGGTGTAACGGGATTATCTAAGCCCTTCGTGAATGGATTTTTTCCCTTGTTAATGGTCAGAATCACTTTCTAATACAGTTGCTTAGAAAGATTTTTCTTTTCTCTTTTTTTTTTTTTGAGAGAGCTTATTGCATGTTATATAACACTGTGTTGTGGGTGTGCAGCCACCAAAACCCATCCTATATGGAAAAATATTGGATAAAAGTTTTATATTACTGCCCTGGTGTGTATTTCATACCTTTCACAACGACAGTTTGCTTTTCTTTGGCTTGAGAAGGGCTCCTCCCTACCCCACTCCCTTTCACACCCCCTATGGGGTTTTTATGTTGTTACCGAGTTTTCCTCACCTTTTTTGAATGCTAAATAACTTTTAAAATTTCTATTTGTGAGTTAATGTTTTACTTAACGTCTGTAGACCAGTCTATTCTCATTTTTTTAAACGTCAAAAGGCCAGCCGTTTATTTCTCAAAGGTAGCATAAAGTCTTTTTTTTAAAACAATAAATTGATTAAACGGAGACAAACCTTTGCATTAGATTGTAGGTGTTGTCACTGAAACTTTCTTCCTAAAGCTCCCCAAACCAGGCTCTGCCTTTTTCAGTTCATTAGACTTCTCTCATTTTCAGAAATTTAGGGTACTTCAATGTTGCTGCAGGGATGTTCACACATACCCACCCCAATCCTTACTATTAATATTAATAATAGTAGGTAAACAACCTGCCCCACTTGTCCATTTTCCAAATCTCCATCTGTCCTGCTTCCTCTGTCTCAGCCTGCTTGGACTTTTTCAGCACCTCCAGAAGCAGAGAAAAGAGGTGGAAGTGAATTCAACCCTTATTTATTACATATTGTTAGCTCTAGCAATAGTTTGGTAAGCAAGGAGGTAGAAATTAATAGATAGGGGAAGCTTGGAGCTTATTTGGAGTTATCTGAATACTAGTTTTTATTGAAGCAGAAAGGTGTGTTTGATTTCAGTGTTGCATGCTATAGATATTTGGCGAACTAAATTATATAGGAGCCTCTATTCTTGTAGTGGGATCTCATTTTAAATAGAAAGGGGGCAGAACTAAGAACTCCTGGTTAACATTAGAAAACACATTTTATTATGTCTTCTTGTAATGAGATTTAGGTTAGCCATTAGGAACTACCCTCCCCAGTAATGTGACTGAATTTTAGTATACTAAGCTTAGCTCAAGACTGAACTTTGGGGGAAGCTCGGCTATTCGGTTGACGCGGACTAAGGGTGTAGCCATAACGACCAAAGGCAAAGTGTATGTGGGGAGAAAAGGGACGCAACACCGACCTTAGGCCGCCCTTTTAAAATGTGTGCAAAGGATTTATTTTTTTGCCAACACTTTCTCCTATAAAATCACAATCAGCTTTCACCATTTCTAAGGAGTCAGAATGAGTAATCTAAATGGCAGTCTTTAAAGAGGGGGAGGAGACTCGGGTTAGGAGTAGTCTTTTCCTCCAAATTATCTGATTTAGATAGGCCCTTTCCTTTTTACACTTGTGGATTTGGGCTTGCAGGAGGCCTGACCTGAATCAGCTCCATAGCTATGGAGCTAAAAATAGGGCACTCTTAGAGGACTTGCTAAAACGGTGTGTCTCAGCCTATCTCAGTGTTTATCCCTATCTTGTCCCAAGTAACGATGGGAAGCCTCCTACTTCTAGCTTATTTTCATGTGTATCATAATTTGCAAAGATACATATTTGTCATACCATTTGAATTTTTCCAGGGCGTCCTTATGCACAGTGATTTATTTTTAAAAAAGTTGTCATTTAACCTCTTACAGTTCTTGGCTTTGTAAATTGCCAGCACCCTACACTTTATGGAAATTGCTGAGAGTTTTGCTTGTTAGCAACAGGTGCAGATTGATTCCATGTGCTAAAATCTTTGTTAAAAAGAGAAAAACGGACAGATATGCCTGCCACTGTTTTCGATGGAAAAAAATAAGCTTCGCAGACCTTATGTCTGCCACCTGTTGCTAGGTAAATGGCTTTAAGACTAGCTTCACTTTGGTAATGGCAGGAAAGCCCTATCAGATGACACTGTGGTTTATTCATGCTGATAATACCTTGATTCATAATAACGTCTAACATGGCTTCTGTGAAAGAAGTGTTGCTAAATGTCATTTGTTGAGTTGGCAAAAAAGTTTTGTGGTGGTTATTTTTATATGTAGGCAGTCCTTTCGGTCATGGAAGCTTAGAATATATAAGGATACTTTTTAATAGTGTCCCAAGACAGCAATGAAGGTACACTCAGTTAAGCTGAAAACCAGCTGTAATACTGAAAACCAACTGATTGCTAACTTCCGCAGGTGCATCTTCAGTGTAATAGGATGTACTAGTTGTCTAGGCAGGCAGTTGTGCCTGTGGTTGTATGGGTATAAATGAGCCTTGGCTGTTACCCAAGAGAGCTATAAAATGTGCAGCTGGAGACTCCCTTTTCCTGAATGGTCCGTTCACCCTGAACAAGGGAGAACCACTCAATTGGATCTGTAACTCTTACAGCTACTTTCTGTTAACATAAATTCTCAAGAGGCCTTGATAGTAGTTTGAGGTGTGTTAGTTATTTCAAATGTGTCAGGGGTTTTTTTTTTTTTTTTTTTTTTTTTAACCTTGACCCTTTAGGGTACTAGGAATATCTTCATTTGAGAAACCTAGTAATAGGAAAGAATTTTAATCTCCTCTTTTTTAAGCATGGTAAAGAATTGGGGGCTAGCCAAAGGGTTTCTAAGCTTTTGATAAGAAATACTAGTTTGTTTTAGAATTTTAGTAAAAGAGAAAATGTCAGTAAGTTATCTTTTTGTTGCACTGGTTGTTTAATAGAAGAATACAGAGGATACAGAGTCGGAAGGTCTGGATCATACTTTGTCAATTGGTACTTTACAGTTTTGGGCATAAGAACAAATCCCAAGCCTCTGGGATAACAACACACATTTTTGCATATGTGCTGCCCACTTGGTGGTTCTTTCTAGTCTTGTAAGCTTGACACTAAGGATTTAAGAATGAGTGCCTTAATTTTTCTGAGACAACGGTGGATTTAAATTTCTACACGAAGACACTAAACACATTCAAAATTATCGGGGAAAAAAGGTCTCTTACAGGCTTAAACCCTCAAAGAGGATTCCTTCTGAAGTTGTCTGTTCTCTTTTCCAATAAGCATAGGATGAGGTTCAATAGCAGCGATTTTGTTAGCTCTGCTTTGTGAAGAGCAAAGTTACTGTGGAGGGCTGGCCCAGAGAGTAAAGTTTTACAAAGATGTCCTCAGAGGAGTTATTTTAGTCACCTAAAGGAGAAATGCTAATCAGTTCTTTATAGAATGACATCTGGCTTAAGAAGTATTACTGTTTGTGTATGTCGTGTCATCACTGTGCTTAGAGGAAGAGGTGGGAATGGGTAAAGACCTTGAAATTATAGAAAGGGAAGTGTAGGAAGACTAGTATCTATTGGTTGTCAGGTTATTTTGGGTGTGAAAGAAGGTGTTAGGTTGTAACTTAAATCACTTTTAACAAAATGCTTAATAGTTTATTGCTTTTTTTTTTTTTTTTTTCCAGGTATTGCACTCTCAGTCTCGCCATGTTGAAGTCAGAATGGCCTGTATTCACTATCTTCGAGAGAACAGAGAGAAATTTGAAGCGGTAATTTGTAAATTCAAACATGATGATGTCTTGACTTGCATTTACATTTTGGCCTTTAGAAGTGTTTTAGTAAAAATTTCACAGGCTGGATCTTAATGCAGATTATAAAAATAACCCTTATTAAAAAGAACTTCTTTATTGAACTTAAATCCACTTATATTCAGTTATGATATTTTCTAGGCTATTTTGTGTTATACATTTATTCAGATATTTAGAAAGCTTCTGTGATGGACAAGACACCAAGCTGTGGGGAATGGAAGGGTGACTTGGACAAGTTCTTTGCATACTAAGAGTGAGCTTTGTCTTACACGGTCAGGAAATTGGGTGTTGTGGTTAATAGTGGTTTCGGTGATTGACAACTCCCTATGAATTAAAAAAATTTTAGACATGCAGTATAAAAAATATACTGAGTGTAGGTAATGTTGAACTCTTTTATCAGAAGACATTTATAGATTTTGAATTTTCAGGGTTCATTGTGAAATCACACATCAGAACACTATAATTATGTAAGTGGCAATTAAGAGTTAATAAAGTTTTGTATAACAACTTAGTATAATTTTCTCAGTAGTGAGTAGTAGGCCATGAAATAAGATGCCACAGTGACCTATTTTCATTTTATATTCAAAGCCTTACAGGATTTATTAGTTATTGGTTTTATGACCTAAATTTATGTAACCTGACAACTTTCAGTAGTATTTTTCTCTATTGACTGGTAAAGAACATTGACACTTCACGAATAACTAAATTCTAAGACTTAAGAGATAAAGAGTTCTTTGTTTGAATATGTTCTTGGATTGGTGTTTCCCGTATTTAAGCAAAATATTATCACTAGTAACATTTTTCTGGGTGCCATGGTTTCTAATGGACAGTAATATATTCCAGGAAGGAGAATTAGTTACCTGCTTGATAGGTTTGAAATCTTGTCTTATAAAAAAATCGGTAATATAGGGGCTAGATAAGAGAGAACTAGGGTTGGTAGAGAAGAGGTGGGGAAGTGAAGTGGTCTTTAAATATTTGAAGAAATTACAAGTGAATCATTAATATTGGCCTCAGAAGGTAAAACTGTGTTGTTACTAATGGATGTTGCCAGTGTTAGTTAAGCACTTGCTATGTGCCAGGCATTGGTTTAAGTGCTTTGCATTTATTTAGTCCATATAATCTTATAAGGTATGATCAGGGATTGAAGGTTCCAAGGGAGAAAGTTTTCCTTTCCTTATAAGAAAATCCTAGCAGTTTCTGGTGGCTGGCATTGGAAAGGGATGTTGTAGGAAGGATTGTGCCTTGTTACTGACTGACAGAGTTCAGCCACAGCCTGGATGGACGCTTCTTGCTCTCAGATTGGATTCAGGCTTATGTCAGAATTAGGTCTCCTCTAACTTTAAATGATTCTGTTGCTTTTTTTTTAAATTGATAAATTGTCATCTAATACAGAGCAGTAGCCTTTGATTGGTGGGATATTTAAAATACATGGCTCTTTTATTGTAAATTTGTCTTGAAACTTGAGACAGTTTTTGGAAATTTGACATTATGCAATCTAGAAGAGAATTAAACTCAATCTTTACAAAAATCCGTGGGTACTTATAAGATTTTTATAGAATAGGGAGCGTACTTTAATGTTTTTAAGTATATCACTCTGCTAAATTAACTGGGACTGTAATTTAAAAATAAAATTGAATTTGGTGATTAAGATGAATGTCTTTTAGAGCTTTCTCAAATTAGTGCAATTGCTATGAGAAAAACATAAACAAGGTTGGGTTAATAAAATAAAACTCAATTTTATTTTTATTTTAAAGTAACAGCGAAGAAGCAGCCTGTATTAAAAAAAATCTTGTGGGTGCTTCAAAATATTCTTGACATTATTAGTTTTCATCTCCCTTTTTAGGGTAACTGACCTGAGAGATAGTGACTACTCACATCTGTATAATTAAGCTGTATTATTTCTTAGCCAGTGTATATCAGTCTTTGTTTTACTCTATTCTACACACTGGCTACTACCAAATTAAGATAAAAGGACTGCTTATCATATAAATTCTCAGTCGAGAATGTCATATGCAGTGACCTTGAATTGCCTTTCCTGGGTAATCTGAAGGTCCTGCCTGTGCTCAGGGCCCTCTTATAAACAGACCCCTATTGGATTCCTCTCCTCAGCTTCCTACGGACTTGTCTCGCTGCAACTGGCCAGGTCATTCCTATCTTCCCAACAGAGTGTTCATTCTTCCTCCTCACGCCACGTTGGCTTTCTCTGTGGAGTATCCTTTCCCTGTGCCATCCAGCCTTCATCTTGAGTCAGTCCCCTTCAGAAAAGCTTCCTGGCAACATTTCCGTCTTTAAATTCTTTTGTATGTTTATGGTCTTCATTTAATGATTACTATATATTTTCACAATTAGATTTTATGAATATATATTTTTTAATAATACTGATACATCCTAGGTTTGTGTATGTAATCAGTAATTCAAAGTGAACATTATTTGTGCAGTGAAGCAGTTAACTGTTTTGACATTTCTTAGATGATATACTTAATAGACTTTTTTTTGCAGTTTATAGAAGGATCATTTGAAGAATATTTAAAGCGTTTGGAAAATCCACAGGTATGCAGTTGTTTAAAATTCATAAAATTGGAATATTAATAATATGGTATGCAGAGGGGTTACAGTGGCAGTGTACCTTATTTCCTTATAAACATTTTCTACAAACGTCTTAGGTACACATTTATGTAGCACTTAATTGGAAGACACTGGAGCTGTATACCACAGGTTTCCTCCGTAAGAGTTGTGCTTTCTTTATCTTTGTCATATTGACATGTGAATGTAGCATAAAAGATCTGAAATGACACTGGTAATGATTTTCAGAATGCTGTGTTGGTGTGGGTATGGGCTTGGACAGGGTGAGGTTTGATTTCTTCCTAGGCTGTTTGAGAAGGCAGAGTTCTTTTATGCAGGTTCCATTTCCCGTGCTCGGCTTGTGAAGGGAAGAACCTGTTGTGAAAAAAAGGACAGCACTTCCCCCCACCTCCTGCTAGCCACACTTTCTCAGTCTTGTTGAAGTTAAAAGGATTTTTCTATCTTTGTTTTTTCTGCTTACAAAACTAACATTCTCAGTGTAAAAATCTTAATTTCTTGGAATGCTGTTTAGAATGTTCTGATTTTCCATCATCCTCTGTTAAGTTAAAAATAACATTGGCAAAGGAAAAAGCTACAAAAGAAGGGAGTAAAGGGAATGTAACCTAGGAACAGTGGTGTTTGATCAATGAGTGGTGTGTTCATTTGATTCCCTAATGCCAGTTTGAGTGCTTATTATGGACCAAGAATTGCTAGTTATCCTGGGAATGCAGAGAGAATGGAGATAACCAGAGAGTTTCCCTATCATGGGAAAGAAAGTCAAATATAAGTTAGAAGAGTACATGTGTCACAAGAGGTTTAGTTATGGTGCTATAGGCATTCAAAGTTTTATTTCAGCTGGGTAGACAAAGCAAGAGTTTGAGAGTGAGTTCACATTTGAAGTCTGAGAAGATTCTAAATAGGAAATGCCTGAGCTAAAGAGCATTCCAGGAAGTGAAAACTGAGCAAGGCAGATTCAGAAAACAGTTCAGTTTGTGTGGAGCCTGGAGCACATGAAGGTAAGAAGTAATGAGAAAAGTTGGAGGGGCAGGTTGGGGCCAGACTGAGAGAGAGCCTTTAATGGTAGGCTCACAGTTGGGAGTGTACACTTAAGGCCAGCATTTCTCAAAGTGTGATCTGTAGGTTATTTGCATCAGAATCACTCAGCGTGCTTATAACAACACAGATTCCCTGGCCTGTGTGTAACTCTAGGCCTCAACACATTCCCTGTCTCCCTTCCCTGCTTTATTTTTCTCTGTAGTGCTTATACTCTCTAACATACTGTGTATCTGCTTCCTACTAGAATTAAGCTCCATGAACACAGAGGTCTGTGTGTTTTGTTCACTGCTGAGTGCCCCAGAGCTGAGAATAGTGCCCTGGCATTTTTGTCTGAATGGATGGATTAAAGAGTATTGTGTGAAAATAGTTTGAGGTGGATGAGACCAGAGGCAAAAAGATCCATTTTATAATGGTTTAAAAATTTGTTTAATATATGGAAAAATGTGCACATCATATTAAGTGTATAAAGGAATAAGTACAGTATCAATCCAGTTTTGGAGGCAAATATTCCCTGAAGGCCTATTCTCCAAATTTACCCCAACTATATTTTTATGTGAGTAATTCTGAAACTGAGTTTTACCTATACAGTATGATCACAAATTCATTTTCCTGAAGTTTACATTTTTCTCTCATAGTGTATAAGCCTCTTTGAAGGCAAGCATTGTATATTTTTGTGCTTTGGAATTCCCATAGTTACCTTTCAATTTGGGGTGCCTAATCTGTTTATGTGTGTTGAATGACTGTTAAGTACCTATCGTATCGTGTTATGTGTAACAGATAGGAAAGATAAACACCAGAATGTTAATTTGTTATTCTCCAGGTGGCAAATATTATAGGTGATTTTTATTTCCTTTATAGAAAATAAAAGAATTGACAAGGACCATTTATTATTTCATATCAGGAAAACCCCCCAAAGTTATTTTATAATAATCTTTGTGCAGCAGTTCAGGCTATTGGGCTGTGAGGGTCCAAGCTAGGATAGAAGTAATAGGAGTGGAGAGGAGACAAGTAGGAAATGAGGCAGTGTGAACTGAACAGAGACATTTGGTTTGGGTTCTGTCGGGAACGAAGGTACTAAAGTTGATTGGGGTTTTGAGCAGGTGGAACAGGGCATCTGTGCCTCTTTTTCATGATGCTGGCTGGCCAGGTTTCTTTCTGACACACACAGGACTTACTCTTATGACACCCCTCTCCCCTGTCTGATCAAGCCTCTGCAGATATCTCAGGTGCTTTCTGAACCTAAGTGCTGCCTTCTTTGTTATTAGCAACCAACATTTTGAAGTCTTCATGCTGGTTTTTTTGTTGTTGTTTTTGGCTGCCTCCTTGATATATGGGATGTATAAAATGAAAACAAATGTGGTTGATGGATGGGCATTGATTTCTCCAGCCGATTCTCAGAGAAAGCATCTTTATCCTCTTAAAATAGTAGAGCATTTTGAAAAATGCCTCAAACTCTTTGTCAGCTATGTTAAGGTAAAATTGACATACAATAAAATTCATTAATTTTAAATGTACAATTTGATGACATTTAACAAATGTATACACTTGTGTAACCACCACCACAGACAATATGTGGGACATTTCCATCACTCCAGAAAGTGTCCTCATGCTCTTAATTCCCTGATTTGCTTTCCAAGTTTTACCTTTTCTAGCTGTATATAAATGGAATGATATATAGTTTATACTCTTATGTGTTTGGCTTCTTTCACTTATATTGGAAACACTTTAAAATTCATCCATGTGTTTATCAGTAGTTCCCTGTTGCAGAATGGTAGTGCACTCTGGATGTATCTATCACAATTTATTTCCCAGATGATGGATATTCAGCTTCTTTCAGGTTTTGGCCTGTTAAAATTGAAGGTGCTGTGAACATTTGCTTGTAAGTCTTAGTGTAGACATAACTTATCTTTTCTCTTGGATTAATACCTGAGAGTGGAATTGCTGGGTCATATGGTAAATATGTTTAATGAGAAACTGCCAAACTGTTTTCCAAAACATTTTGCTTTCGCATCAGTATATGAGAATTCCAGTTGTTCCACGTTCCTGCCAACACTGTTTGTGATTGTCATTCACTTGCATTTCTCTAATGATGTTGAGCATGTTTTCATGTGCTTATTTGCCATCCATATAATTTTGTTGGTGAAATAAATGTATGTTCATAGATTTTGTTTTTTTTCATTGCTATTGGTCTTATTGAATTTTACGAGTTCTTTATACTGGATATAAGTCTTGTAGTGAATGTATATTTTGCAAATACATTCTTTCAGTTTGTCTTTTGGCTTTTCATTTTCTTAACAATGCCTTATGAGCACCAAAAGCATAGTATTGATGATGATTTAAGAACATTTAAATCACATAGTTTTGGTATGGTATGATTTATTAGTTGAAACAAATTTTGAAGAAGTTCTTTTCTCTCACCCACAAGACATATACTTATAAAACATTATAAAAAGTGATGAGTAAATAAAATTATAGCCTTAAGTAGAAGACAATGGTAGTAGAACATCAATTTTTTTTTAAATAATAAAATACTAATTTAAAACTGACATTGGTTAGGGAAGAAGAGAAGATTTAATGACAGTCATTGTTTACTTAATGAGACTACGACAGAATTTATTCTGAAGATTACTTATAAAAAGGTACATTATTCTCATGTAGCATTTTGTTGAGATTGAATTTTCCATTTTTTAAAGTTATGTAGTACATTTTGCATAAATTAGAAATGTAGTATGTGTATGATCTAAAGAGAAGGGTTTTCTTTACACCAGAGGGTGTCACTTGTGGTAGTTTGTGAGAAGCCATAGTTGTTAGGCTAAGGCCTATTTTAAGAAATCTAAATATATATGGCACCTATTTCATTTTGAAAATCAGTGCCACCTTTTAAGAACTGTTAAAGTGAAGAGTCTGTGGGGGATTTCTTGTCTGAGATCAAAATATTGTCTGAAATCTTTTATCTCAATTTTTCTTTCAAGTCCAAGGTGGCAGTTTTCATTTATAATAGCTCATTGTTTTCAGTGGCTCTTGATAGTAAGTCTTTAACTAGTTTCACAAGTAATACAGGAATACATTCTAGTGGTGAAAGATTTTAAAATATACATATATATGGAATGAAGGGTGAAAATTCTTCATTTCCCTCATCTTGAATTCCCTGTCTCTACTGTCAGTTTGGGATGCATCCTCCCAGTGACCTTTCTCTGCGTACAGACACACGTGTATCAATAAGTATACTTTTTTGTTTGCTGTATACAAGTAGGATTATTTTACCATTTACTGTTTTTTGAAATTAAGCTCTAAAGTTTTATTTTTATGTTATCCCTAGAGAAACAATTACTCATTTTTATTTTGGTATATAACTTGATTATAAGTTAAGGGTTGGCTTCTTAGTACAATCACGTATCTTTAAAAATTTTTTTTAAATTGACAATTTACAAATACTTGTACATATTCATGGGGTACAAAGTGATGTTTTGTTACATATAATGTCTAGTAGTCAAATCAAGGTAATTAGCATATCCATCATCACAAACATTATCATTTCTTTATGTTGGGGAATGTTCAATATCCTCCTAGTTTATTTGAAACTATATATTAATATATTTACTGTAGCATGACTTACTTTTTTAACTTAAAAGTTTTGAGTGATCTTTTCAAATCATTTCATGTGGGTATACCTCCTTTTTCAATGAGTCCATGATGATCTATAGTGTGGATGAACCATAAATTATTTAACTATTCCTTAGGAATTTTAGGTGCCTTTTTCTTTACACTATTACAAATAGCTTACAGTGACATTTATATACACTTTTGTGGATATATGAAATATTTCTTCAGGATGGATTTATAGAAGTTGAATTGCTGGGTCAAAAGAGTATATGGACATTTTAAATTTTGAAATATATTGGCCATTTGCCTTTCAGAAAGGCTTAGAGTGACTTCTTTGAGGAGTGCAGAATTTCTCTTCTTTTCAAAATGATTACTAGGACACTGTTCTCTTTTGTACCTTCATTCACCCCCACAATAAGAAACCTTCTGTTCTGTTTTATGCTGCCTGATTTTCTCCTTCTATTCAACTGTTTACTTTCTGGGTTTACACCATGTGCCAAGCTCTGTCCTAGGTGCTAGGTTGGAGGATAGCCCTTGCCCTCAGCAAGTTCTAAACTTAAAGATGCCACTCTGTGGTCTTGCCACACCAATAGGAACTGTCATTACACCCTGTTACTATTACTAAGGATTTTTGTAACAGAGACTTGGAGTGCTTCTTAGTGTATATTGGGGCCTGTTTTATATAAACATTTTTATAATATTCACGTTACTAATAATATTAATGAGCTTTAGGTATATTATGTAAAGGTGTATATAGAGATATAAAGTGTATTATAAAAAGTATGAGACACTTATGTGTCAACTTTTTTTTCCTTCAATACAGGAATGGGTGGGACAAGTGGAAATAAGTGCCCTTTCTCTTATGTACAGGTAAACACTGTAATAACATAAGTAAACAGAAATAAAACCAGTGGGAAATTAGTGTATTCCATCATGTTAAAAGTGTTAAAATAGCAAAGCTATTTTATATGTTGATTGTGAAGCATCTTTTCTGTTTTTTTAAATATTGTATCAATTAGATTTTGACATTTATGTAAGTCAACGTTTAGAAATGTTAATTCTGAAGATACTTTTGGAAAATGATACAGAAAATTTTTAGGCTGTGTTCTATAAAATATCACTTATCAAGCTTGTAGAGAAATGATTTCCTCCTTTCTCAGGGCCAGTAGTATTGAATGGCCATTAGAACAGAACTAAAGTATCATATTACAGGTTGAGTATACCATATCCGAAATGCTTGGGACCAGAAGTGTTTTTGGATTTCTGGGAATTTTGGAATGTTTACATTACACTTACCCAGTTGAGAATCTCTAATCTAAGAGTCTGAAACCCAAAATGCTTCAATGAACATTTCTTTTGAGCATCATGTTGATGCTCAAAAAAGCTTTGGATTTTGGAGCATTTGGGATTTTGGATTTTTGGATTTGGGATGCTCAACCTGTAGAGGAACAGGTAAATATTTTTTCTTTTCAAAATGACATTTAAATTTCATCTTCACAATTTCTCATTAGAATTATATGAAGCTATATATACACATTTGAAGTTTTTTAGAAAAGATACTTTGATATACGTATTTTATAACTTAGCTATTTCATCATTGTCTTTTGTTTATTGCTGTATTTCTGGTGTTTAGAGCATTGCTGGGCACATATTAGTAGGCCCTTGATAAATGAGTGGATGATTAAATTTAATTTCTGAAGTATAAGAAGTAATTTGTAAATGTTATTTTTCAGGAAAGATTTTATAATTTATCGGGAACCAAATGTTTCTCCTTCACAAGTAACTGAAAATAATTTTCCCGAAAAGGTAAGAATTTTTCAAAGTGTTTGTTAAGGATTTAAGTAAAAGAACCATTCACTTGCTACCTTGATCTCCTAAGCTATAATTTTAAGTGACTTTTTAAAATATTTGTCTGAGGTTATGGTACTCTGAGTTTTTAAAAGTTCCTATTAATCATTATGGAGTCATCATTTTGTATTTTTTGACCCCCACAAATCACTATGTTGAACACTTTTATAACATTTCAGTAGAGACACTAATGTATGTGAGGAACTAAACTATTACTGTTTTTTGTCAATTTGAACAAATAGTAAAATAACTTGTGAAAAAAGTTTCTGCCATTGCATCTGGGAATACTTTGGTAAACATATATTTCTCATTTTAAAGGTAATTTTACTGGCAGGGGTGGTGTTGTATTATCTGGTCATAAAGCAGAAACAACTCAAAAATTTTCTGAAAGCTAGAAAGAAAGAATAACTGATTCAGTATAAGAGAATTTTGTCTTAATTAGCTGTTTTGGAATCATTAGGACAAGCCGAAGTGACTTGTGTGTCACCATGCTAACAGTGGTAAGGGGGAGGGGAATTGAGTGAAATACTATCATGGTGAGGACCTGGGGGATTCCAAGGGACTTTACCCTAGACCTGGCCTTTCCAGTACAATTTTTGAAATGTGACGTAGTCTAAACAAAACATTGTGCATTTCTCTTTGCATAAGTAATTCATCTTTTAAAAAGTACTTAGAACTGTAAAGAAGCAGAAGAAATTTCTTTGATTTTTACCTCTTAGAGGTTAGCATTAATAAGATTTTAGAATATTTTCTTACAGTCTTTTAACTTTCTTCTTTAAGTCATTGAAATTATATTGTTTTCATACATTGTGTCTGTTTTTTGCGATCCTATAAACATTTCCACAGGTCATTAAGAACTTTTTGATTTAATGGCTGTATAGTATTTCAACATATGAGCCATAGTTTGACAGTATTGGAGCTTTAGGTTGCTTTTATTAAAATATTTGCTTTCTATTTGGAAATTATCTAATATTTCAGAAGCAATGGAGACGTTGTGTTGTTTTCTAAATGTCACATATTAACAAATGAGGGTGTGAAATGTGTCTTTTGTCATTTTTAAAATGTGTCTTTAATTTTTCCCTTTTAGGTATTACTGTGTTTTTCAAATGGAAATCATTATGATATTGTCTATCCTATAAAGTATAAAGATAGCTCTTCTGTGTGTCAGTGTAAGTATCACTTTGTGTTTATATAGGAAATTATATTCCTAAACTGTACAACCTTAATGCAGACAAATCAGAGCAAGTATATTCTGTTTTGTTGTCATATAAAAGATATTTCTGAGAACCTTAGGTTACCAAGAATATTAAATATTATAATAACTTATTTCAATAGGAAAAAAGGGATCTAAGGACTAGAGTTTGACTTGTAAATGCCAAGTTTTTTTTGGTGTGGTAATTTCAATAATAAATATTTACATGTATTTTTAAAGCTGTTAGTGTATAGCTTGAAAATCCAAATGACTGAGCAAACCAAGCATTTGATTGATTATCTTTGGCTCTAGGGCAGGGTTTCAAACTTCGTCACTATTGACATCTTGGGCCAGATAATTCTCTGTTTTGGGTACTCTCCTGTTGTGCATATAGCATGTTTAGTAGCATCCCTACCCTCTACACTCTCTCTCGCCCCCGCTGTGACAGCCAAAACTAGATTTTGCCAAATGTTTCCCCGGGGGTGTGAATTCCCTCTTCTGCATCCTCCATTGAAGAATTACTGCTCTGGAAGAGCAGTGGCCCTTCCTGCTGTTATCTGTTATATTTTGTCATCTGTCATGACAAAGCACAAATCACTCATAGAAGTGGTGCTGGGCACGTAACAGCTTTTTCCTCTGTTCTTCAGCTAGTAGTGGTGACCTCTGCATGTGTGTGTCCGAAAAATAAATAAATAAATAAATAAAAATTAAGCCAGTGGTGACCAGTAAAGATGGGTAAAATATGTGCAATATAGAAAAGAAATTATTGATCCATTTTGAGATGTGAAAGTCTTGCTGTCTGTATCCTCGGCCTTGTCTTCCCCCTCCCCTAGTTAGTCAAAATCTAGACATTCCCCTTTGGAAAGGGTAGCTTCTGGAGCCTGCCTTTACTTCTAAGTGCCTGTAGTTTGGGTGATATCAGGAGTGTGCCTCCTGTTAAGGGAATCTGGAAATAAGATGGTCCATGAAAACGAGGTCTCTTTAGGAACTCATTTAGAGGGTGAGCATCTATTGTTAATGAACTCTTAAGTACATTTGTTTCTTAAAGCTCACTGTAATAAATAAAACCAATTTTTGAATTTTTGTTAAAGTATATTTCCCTGTTTTCAGGACTGAAGTTTTTTTTTTTTTTTCTTTATTAAAGGCAACAAAGTCATCCAAATAAGCTGCTGCTTCCTTTCAGTGGCTCTGCTTTGGATGTATTTTATAACCATTTCTCTTCAGTTCCTTATGTAAAACTAAAGTCTGGAGCTAGGTTATATAGTCAGATGTCCTTTTGTTTTGTAGAAACCTGAGAAGTGACTTGTCCAAGGTTACATTTAGTAGCAAAGCGAAGATTAGCATCCAAATCTTCTCAGTTGTCAGCTAGTATACTCTACTATACTGTATTCCTCTTTCTAGCAGTATTAATGTTTCTTAATGTTTTCCATCCAAGACTTTTAAGGTTGGGCTTGCTGTATGACATCACTAAGTCTCAGTTTCCACATATGTACAGCCAGAATAATACTTTATTGTGCAGGGATTAAATACGAGGATATATTAAGGCTTAGCACAGTGTGTGGAATGTAGTAATTGCTCAGTATGCATGTTTTAGTTTTTCCTATCTCTGTACTTGTTTCACAATTGTGGTACATTTTTGTGTTACTAGTCTTAAAACTGGCTGTGTCTTTTTATAGTGGTTTTAAAATACTTAACTACACAGGCAGAAATTCTAGTTGCTCTCCAGGTAACTTTCTTATTAAATTGGGTTATTGACCATAAGATGTTGCAGATATCTAGTTAGGATTTTAGAAGCCTGAACAATAGAAAGTCACATTTTTATGCTCCGTTCCTGTTTTTTTAAAAAAATGCTTATAGTTAATGTTGCATAAAATCTGTCATTAATTGCAGCTCTCCTTTATGAATTGCTGTATGAGAAGGTGTTTAAAACGGATGTTAGTAAAATTGTGATGGGACTGGACACCTCTGAAGTAGCTGATGAAGACAACAGTGAAATATCAGATTCAGAGGATGACAGTTGCAAGTAAGAATGAAATCCTAAAATATCTTTCTAGTGCCATACAAAGAAACATTTTAGTAAATGTCTTTGCCCAACACATATTGAGGTGTTATGGTATTCATAAAGTATAACAATCTACAGAAGTTCCCTTATCCCTGCCACTAATTTTACCTGATTTTTATTATGAGACTATTTCTTTTGATCGTTGATATTTTTGGTTGATAAGAATTTGTCTGTGTAATACAGATGCATATCTGTAGAATAGATTTGGTCCTGTTTATATGTGTGTGTATTACAAAATTTTAAAGTTAACCTGTCAGTTGTTTACATACTTAGTGATGAAAACTATGGCCGTTTTGATTTCCTTCACTTTGTTTTATTGTTTTCTTTGTTAGATAGTGTTTCCTCTTTTTAGACAATGAAAGTCCCAAATAGAGGTTTTAACTATGTGAAGAACTCTGGGTAGTGCCTCTGTGTAGATTTTGAGTAAACACCTTTAACAAAGAGTCTCTGAGGCTTAATTTTTCTTTTTCAGCAAGATGTACAGGGTAATGGCTAAGAGGCTGGGCTCTGGTTTCAATCCTGGCTTCCTGCTAACTAGACTTCTGGCAAGTTATGTAAATTCTCTAAGAAGGCTCAATTCTGTAACTATAAAATGAGGATATATCAGTATTTCGACAAAAGGGAGAATTGGTGAGAATTAAATGAGATAGCATATAAAGTGCATAGCCTAGTTCCTAGGTATAGCATCCAAACATACTAATTATCAGTAATATTAAGTTTACCTTTTATAAGAACCAACTTTATACCCATTGAAGCTATAAGTATATTCTGTTTGTATGAGAGTATAAAGGTGTCTTACTTGGTGTGTTACACATTGTGAAGCTAGAGATAGAAATGGAACTTAAGCCTTAGGATATCTAATTCTTTATTATAAAAATACTTTAAAAATATATATATGGTTTTCTCTTGCTGTGTAATTCCAGGCATTTGTTGAATTAAAATTTGCTGATCCTAATTAAAAATTTGACTACCATTTTTTTCTAACTTGAATCAGTGTCTGCTGTTGTAAATTTAATTCTAAAATAGACTAATTAACTTTGCACAGATAGAAATTTTCGTCCATGGCCCTTCTGTCTCCAGGCACTTGTGCGATTAAGGCATGTCATTGAGCATAGGGGAAGTTGGGGGAGAGAATGATAAGCTTGTTATAACCTATTACCTGTAATTGGGGTGGGGGCACTTCTAGGACATGCCCTTCGGATGCTGCTGCTGTTATCAGAAACAATTGAGTCTGGGATGGCAGTTGGCAGGTGAAGTGTAGAGTAGCGGCTAGTAAGCTGGAGAAGTTTACCAGGGAAGGTGAAGCAAATATTTAAGATGTGCTTATTATTGTGTTCAGTTGTTATTGCTATACTGTACAATGGTAGCCCTAGGAATATGGATTACCTTTTCATTCCATTGTTAAAATTTTGTTTTACTTGGTCATGTCTGACTTAGGGAGATCAAGGCTTCAGTTAAGAAAGAAGAATGCTATATAACCATGGCAAGATAGATAGGCATAGTGTGGTAATGAGGAGGGAAGACTAAAGATGTATTGTACTTTTGTGCCTGGATTCTTTTCACGTTTATATTTGTTGGTCCAGAAGTACTGGAAATTAGGGTGATTTTCTAATCTAGACTCTAGACACTTGAGGTCTCTTAAATATTGCTGTATTTAAGGATGTAGACTTGCATATTGTCCTGAAAACTAGAAATTGATTTATTAAGGAGGAATTTGGGATGGAAGAGTACATGCAGGTGCCATTCAGAGCCTCTCTCCCCTCGACCTGTCATTATTCTGTTCCAGCCTCACTGTTCACCTCAGGGTCTGCATGTGCTGTTCCCTCTGCCTAGAATACTAAATAGCCACATATGGTTTGGTGTCTCGCTACCTTTCTTTGTAGGCAACTCAAATATTTATTGAGTAAATGAATGTAAACTGTAGGTATGTATACTGCAGTGAATTCAAAGAGCTCATGATGGTTTTCTGTTGTGTTGAAGATTATTTGATGTAGAATGTTCTTAATAAAAGAGTTGGTTGAATCCTATAGATAGATACTTCATTGTAATGGAATATTTTTTTAATAGGGACTCACCTGTATATTGAAAGGGAATTTTTATTTGGAATATTTTGTAAATTATTCTACTTACCCAAATTTCGCAGTTTATTTCTCTTAGTGTTTTCTTGTTGATTACTGAGCCCATAAGAATTACCAATAAGTCTTTTGCTTCTATCTTATATGTATATACGTGTACGTACATACACACTTTTATTTATATGTATACTAAAACTTGTGAGAGCTCGCTGGAGTAGTATAGCTCTGACTTTCAGCTTATAGCTCTGATTTTTTAGATGGGGTGAGAAGTTAATTACATGCAAATATATTTTTCTGCTCCTAATTATGGTTATATTTCTTCTTTTATAGGAGTAAAACTACCACTGCTAATGATGTGAATGGATTTAAACCTTTGTCAGGAGATGAGGTATTTTTCTTTTAAACAGTTTTAACTAGTTCTTCAATATAAGAAAGCATATGAATTTAAAGTCTTAATTTTTTTTCTTTTTCTGGTACATTTTCAGTAGAGTCAGGGTCATCTACTAGTAAGAAATTGGTGACTTCCTAATTTTTTTAAGTTTCTTCATTTGATTTTACGATTACACATATCTCAAACAAAAATATTTTAAAAGCATTTCTTTGTTGATCGGACTTTCTGACTTTGTTTAGCACCCAAAGAACAATGGGAACTCTCCTAGCCTTCCTTTGTCTAGAAAGGTTCTTAAGTCACTCAATCCAGCAATCTATAGAAACGTGGAATATGAAATATGGCTGAAGTCTAAACAAGGTGAGTTAAAAATATGCATTTTTTCATATGTTTGTTTTGTACCAGTTGAAAACTAATCAAATCAGCCTTATATTGATTTTTTTTTTAACAGCTCAACAAAAACGTGATTACTCCATTGCTGCTGGCTTACAATATGAAGTTGGAGATAAGTGTCAAGTAAGTGATTTATATAAAAGATGAAAAGATTTTCCTTGAAATTTTGCTTTTTCTAATAGAAGTCAAGAAAATAGGTGAGGTTTGAATGTGTTGTTAATTTGGAATTTCAGAGTATATCATGTGTACATTTTAATAGTTAGCAAGTATTTAGCTTTTTGACTTATTTGAATACATTGCTAAAATCGTTTATATCTAAAACCATGGCATTTTAAGAACATATAGTGGGGAAAAGATAGACTCTTCGATAAATGGTGCTGGGAAAACTGGATATCCATATGCAGAAGAATGAAACTATAACCTTTTCTCTTGCCATGTACAAAAATCAAATTAAATGGATTAAAGACTTAAATAAATCTAAGACCTGAAACTATGAAACTATTAAAAGAAAACATTGGGAAAAATGCTTCAGGACATTCGTCTGGGCAAGGACTTCTTGAGTAATACCCCCAAAGCACAGGCAACCAAAGCAAAATTGGACAAATGGGATCACATCAAGCTAAAAAGCTTCTGCACAGCGAAGGAAGTTATCAACAAAGAGAAGAGACAGCCCACAGAATGGGAGAAAATATTTGCAAACCCCCCATCTGACAAAGGATTAATAACTAGTATATATAAGGAGTTCTGACAGCTCGGCAGGAAAAAATCAAATAATCCAATTAAAAAATGGGCAGAAGATCTGAATAGACATTTCTCAAAAGAAGACATACAAATGGCCAACAGGTATATGAAAAAATATTTGGCATCATTAGTCTGCAGAGAAGTGCAAATCGAAACTGCAATGAGATATCTCACCCCAGTTAAAATGACTTTTATCAAAAAGGCCGGAACGAGTGCTGGTGAGGATGTGGTGCTGCTACACTGTTGGTGGGAATGTGATTAGTGCACCCACTATGGAGAACAGTATGAAGATTCCTCAAAAAACTAAAAATCCTGCTGGATGTATAGCCAAAGGATGGGAATACAGTATATTGGAAAGATAACTGCACTCTCATATTTTTTGCAGCACTATTCACAGTAGCCAAGATACAGAATCAACCCAAGTGTCCATCAGTGGATGAATGAATAAAGAAATTGTATATATGCACAATGGAACATTGTATAGCCACAAAAAAGAATGAAATCCTGCCAATTGCAACATGAATGGAACTGGAGAACATTATGTTAAGTGAAATAAGCCAAGCATAGAAAGGCAAATCTCACATTTTATCACTCACAAGTGTGACCTAATATTAAAAAATTCATCTCTTGGAGAAAAGAGAGTAGAATGACAGTTACCAGAGGCTGGGAAAGGTAGCGCCATGAGGAGGGCGGGGGATAAGGAGGGGGGGATGGTTAATGGGGGCAAAAATATAAATAGATAGAACAAACAATATTTGATAGCACAACAAAGTGACTGTAATCAACAATAAGGGTATACTTTAAAATAACTAAAAGAGTGGAATTGGAATATTCCTAACACAAAGAAATGTTTAATACCTGAGGGTGATGGGTACCGTAATTACCCTGATTTGATTAATTCACATTGTATGCCTGTATCAAAACATTACGTGTACCCTATAAAGATATTTAATATACAGTTATTATGTACCAATAATAATTAAAAAATTAAGAAGGCCAGGCACTTAATCCTAGCACTCTGGGAGGCCAAGGAGGGAGGATCGCTTGAGGTTAGGAGTTCAAGACCAGCTTGAGCAAGAACGAGACCCTGTCAAGAAAGACCCTGGATAGGATAATTTACAAGGTCTCTTTTCTGTTCTTTGCTTATGGAAAAATACTACTATCTCGAAAACCAAACCAACTCCCCCAGATACACAAAAAATGTTATATGGCAGTTAATTTTCATGAGAAATGGTTTCCATTAAAAAGTGTTGCCTTGTAAAAACTACTTTAAAACAGCCATTGGCAAACATTTCTTTTTGACTTATGGATAAATTGGTTTTCATGAAAAGTGTCTGATGAGAATTCTATCTGGGGCATCAGTGATGGGCTTTACCTTAAGAACCTTTAATAGTTCTGATTCTAGGGTATTTGAAAGGTGAGGAAGAAGAGGATCCGATTCATTCACATGCTTCCTTACAGGATTGTCAGAAATCTGCTCTATAATTGTAGAACAGAGTTGTGGAAGCTTTTAATATTAATACATTGGTTTGGAAAACTTGAAAGAGAACAGAAGAGAAGATTAAATCCAGGGCTTAGAGACCTCTCTCCCCTCAATAGAGAAGATTACTTATCTTATGCTGTATCACTAAAATTGTGTTATTTGTTATTTTAAATTAAACATATTTCCTTTGAGGTTGAAATTGCTTTTGGTAAAGTAGATGCTATTTGTAAAGTAGGGTAAAGCAGACACGTGTTTTAATTTTTTCCTTTTTGGAGTATTTTGTTTATTTCTACTACTTGACCATTTCATTTGGATAAAATCTAATTGAAATCTTAAACTGAGATGACTTACAGATGACTTTTGTTTACTAAAAGTGTGTAAGATGTTTAAACTTTGGATAAAATTAAGTTCAGAAAAGTCTTTTTAATTGTGAAACTTTTGAAGAGAGGAAGGAAAAGTATCCTGTTGTGAATGATGAAACATCCACTTGAGGACTTTGATCTGTAGTAGTGCCCTGTATATTTTACTTCCGGTGCAGTGATTCCAGGTGCACAATTCAATTTGTGCAGTTTGACTATAGGAAGAAACCTTAAGGCTTACTCTGTCATGATTTACAATTGGGTAGGGCTAATTGCACAGTTGATGGATTTATTTTTAGGGTGAGAAAAAGATCACAGTTACATATTTTTAATATTAGCAAAATGGACAGATAATAGTAATTATAATAATAATTGCTCTCCTTTGTTGAGTGGTTGCTTGTGTGCAAGCCGATGTCCTTTGTGTGTGTCATGTGCACCCTTATTCCGTCTCCCTGGGTTTGGTGACCGTAGGTACTATTAATAGCTCCATTTTGCATAGGAGGAAACTGAAGTGAGATAAGTTGCTTGCCCAAGGTCATATTGCTGGTAGGTGGAACAGCCAGGCCTGGAAGCCTGGGGTGTGTGGGACCACAGTCCTGCTTTCTGAACCTCAGGACATGCTGCCTCTCTTGTTTGGACCTTAATAGATTGTGTTCCTATTTCTTCTGGAACTATTTAGAAAAAACAATTTAGAAAAATTTTGGAAGGATAAAGAGGAAAAATTTTTCTTTCTTTTAGGTAGAGGTATGGAGGTCTTTGAGGTTAGGGAGATGGATTGCATTGTTCGCCCTTTTGAACTTATTTTGTCTTTACCGATAAACATTTGTTTCTCTTGAATTGAAAACAAAATTAAATTTTAAAACTGATCATTAATGTAAAGGGAGCAGGTGACTGATTTTTATATCTGGAATTGTTCAACAGGTTAAGTTGGATCACAACGGAAAATTTTCTAATGCCGACATTCAAGGAGTTCATTCTGAGAATGGACCAGTTTTGGTTGAAGAACTGGGAAAGAAGTATGTACTAGTTTTCAGCTAAGGCATTTATTGCTTCTTCCATTTAGTCTCATGTAATCATGAGTGTTGTTAAATAGCCCTGTGTATTTGCAAATTCAGTGAAAGGTATGGCACGCGTGTAGAAAGTATATTGTTCAGACCTTTAGAAAAATACTAAGTGTATGCATTTAATATTTTGCACATTGGCAAATTTTAAATTAAGAATACTTATTACTTACTGTGTAAAATATGCTATTCTTCACAAAGGCAATTTGGGAAAGATTAGATTGTAAAGTGGGAGCATTGGAGAACAGGGATTCATTCATTTCTAATTTCATTCAGTGCTGCATTGCATGTAGTTAGTATTCAGTAAATGTTTGTCAGATGGAGTAGTAAAATGTTGACTTGTTATACAGTGTTATTTTAGAGCACCTTTTGTTTCAGTTGCTGCTTCCTCTACTAAAGAAAAAATAATAAATTACTCCTTAAACTTTATTGTGGAACATTTTACATTATAAACATACACGTACAGAGCATAGTACAGTGAACCCCAATGTAACCAACACCTGTTTTCAGCAACTCACAGCATTAAGCAATAGTTTCCAATCTATTCTTCCTAATACTTTATTTAAAAATGGGAATGAAATTGGAATATTTTAAAGGAAATTCAGAAATCACACCACTTCTCCAGTTGATGTTTGTGTGTTTCTCTATCAGAATAAGGACCTCCCTCCCCACCTTAACTACAGACCATTATCATATCCAACAGAATAACATTCATTCCTTACTTATTTAATCTTTTGCTTAGATTGTGATTAAAGCCTTTAGTCTTCTGTTTTTTTAAATTAGAAAATATGCTTTTGAATTATGGCATTTTATTCGATTAGAATGAGTTCTGAGTTGCTAAATGCTCTTTGTACTTAAATTCTGATTTGTTTTTAATGTAAGAACTAAAACAGGAAATTCTTATATAAGTTGAAAATAAAATATGCATAATATTTGTTTAAGTGTTCTTACTAGGAGTATTTTAAGTTATTACAAGTTTTTTTCTTCCTTTTGAAGACACACATCAAAGAATCTCAAAGCATCTCCCCCAGAAAGCTGGAACACAGTGTCAGGGAAAAAGATAAAGAAACCTTCCACTTCTGGTCAAAATTTCCATTCTGGTAAGAGTACATAAAGTTATCATTTCTTCGGGATAGGGTTGGTGGTATTTGGGATTGTTTATAACGGGAAAATTCTGAGGTATTTTTGGGTTCTTGTCACAGACATGGATCACAGAGGGCCAAAGAATCCAAGCAAGCCAGTAAAAGCCCCATCAGCACTACCTCCTCGACTACAGCATCCTTCGGGAGTAAGACAACATGCATTCTCTAGTCATTCTTCAGGGTCACAGTCTCAGAAATCCTCCAGTGAGCACAAAAATCTTAGCAGGACACCCTCACAGACCATAAGGTAACCTTCCTGAGTGCAAGAGAAGTGGAAAGCAAGTGAGAGGCATTTGCTATATTTGCCACATTTATGTGCATTTAAATTGGTGCCTTGTTCATATACTTGTTTAGCATAGTATTAAAAGTATTGTTGATGAAACACCATGTGAGGATTACAGTTCTTTTGAATCCTCTTTAAACAAAGAAAGGTAATATTACAGGGAATGAGACCTTTATTTTTAAATGGCCTTTTCAAATGATTTGGGAAATTTTATCCTAGCCCAATCTTAATGTGACACTTAATAGTTTTCTGGTGGCTTGTAATATGGTAAATACTGGAATCTGAATTGCATTCCTAATTCCTGGAAAGGTGAGAGGATGTTCCTGTTTTTATAGGATCTTAAGCCAACCAAAATTGTTGGTTTACTTTGTTCTGATAAGTTTTGATTGTGGTAATGTCTCTAATACTGAATGGGGCTGTAAGTTTTAGGTCTGTATAATTATGACTATCATCAGCATTCTGACTAAATATCCAGAACAGATGAACCTAAGAGTCATAATTTTCCTGTGCGATGTGGATTTTAATTTTTCCCTCATCCACTCTTTCTGCTTAGTAGTTTATAGTCCTTTGGAGGAGATTTATTTGAGAAGGGTGTGTCTTAAGTTGAGACTGTCCTCTTCGTGCAAAACATGTGGCCATGGCTTCTTGCAGGTGCTGGGGCCTTCCTAGTTTACTGTGGCCAATGCCTTCTCCACCCAAGTGCCCCCTCCTCAATTGCCTGAAGAGCTGTAGCATCAGCTTATATGCATGCCAGGTGCTCTGGTTTTTAGTTCCTTGATTTCCGGCATTTGGGCATACCCTTTCTTGGGAATGAACTTAACATTTTTTTGTCATTAAAGATGTTTTATGTAGCATCTTCCAGACAGAGTTATAAGTTCTTTGGCTGACATTTATCAATATCGTATTAGTTTTCTGGGGCTGTTGTAACAAAGTGTACCACAAACTGGTTGGCTTAAAACAACAGAAATTTATTCTCTTACCGTTGAAATCAAGTTGTTGCCAGGGCCGTGCTCTCTCTGAAGGATCCAGTGGAGAATCTTTTCCATGCCTCTCTCCTACTCTAAGACTGCCTACAATCCTTGGAGTTCCTTGGCTTGTAGGTGCAATCACTTTAATCTCTGCTTCCATCATCACGCGGCGTTCTCCCCATGTTTCTGTGTCTCTTCCTTTCTTATAAGGACACTAGTCATACTGGGTTTAGGGCCTACCTAAGACTGCGTCTTAACTTGATTCTGTCTGAAAGACTGGTACCAGGGGTTAGGTACATGAACATTATCTTTTTGGGAAATATAATTCAATCCATAACAAATACTAATACTTCTAATCCATTACATTTTGTCTATTAAAAATTATTTAGGATAGGAAATTAATTCATATTGTTCAAAATCCAAAACATTCAAAAGCTTATTTATTTTGTATAAAGTTTCCTTCCTTTCCATATTTTCCCATTGATCTACTTTCCTTTCGCGGAGGCATCCAGTATTAACAGACCTTTGTGTATCCTTGCAGGGATACTTTTTACATATATAAGAAATACATGTATATTCATAATCCAATTTTTCAGAAGTTCTGATGAGAACAAATGATGAAAAATCAGTTGTAAGACATGCCTTATCTGTCAAGATTGCCCACTGCAAACACAACCCTGAGAAATGCCCTGGGCAAAGAGTGATCAGAGCCTTGCATTCTTGGCACACCCAGCAACATTGTGCAGGGACACTTTGGCCCATAGTAGGTTACCTCTCTCAACCAGAATTCGTGCCACTAATCTGTTAGTTGTGGCTGAAGTTTGTTTGGACATTGATCAAACTGCACTAGTACGTGGTGGTAGCTTACCCAATATAGGCAAAGTGTATAAGAGATTAAGTTGTTTTAAATATTAACCTTGGAAACCTAAAAGTGTAAAGTAACTAACTATAGGAAGGTCACAGGCAGAAATGAGATGTTTCTTTAATAAAATTCTCATTTTTTGATACAATAGAAAAGCAGCATTTTTTTTTCCTTGACACAAGGATATTCTCTAGTAACTTAAAGATTAAAAAAAGAAATACACATAGACTACAAAATGGCTAATTTACATATACTTGTTTATCACAAACTAACTTTATATCTCTTGTTTCTGGTGTTGACTCCAATCTCCTAGGAACTGAAAAAATGCTCAGACAGATGTTTCATATCAACAGTACTTTTAATTCAGTGCTATAGAGAAGTATTATCTTTGTCTTACTGGGATCCTTTTTTATGTGTGTTAGCTATATATTACTTGCTATGTAAAAACACTTGATGGTATGTGACAAGTCTGTGGGTTAGAGAATTTGACATTGTGACTGATTGCATAGGAACCTCGTGGTATTTGCAGGTAGCCATAGGTTAAGTGTGCCTTCGCCACTAAATGTGTGAGGGTGAATTTTACTAGTATATTAAAACAAATTTAGAAACTGCTGATTATCGAATATCTAAAGTAAGATTTTAAAGAAACCTAGTCGAGGTTTAGAATTTTATAGCTAACAATTCGATTGATTAAAGCCCATTAAAGTTTATTTCTAATATTTAACACAATAGTTTTAAATTTTTCAAGTTACAGAGTGAAAAAGAACTGTATTGCTGGGTATGAGACCTTCATGGTCTCTCGGTTTTTCATTTTTTCCTCATCGATATTTTCTCCTCCTTTGGAGAAAGCAAAATATCACCAAAAAAACCCAAGCAGGATTGCCATCTGTGCTTTCATTAATGTGGATGTGCAAGAAATACTATTGCTGAACATCTCTCTTCCAGCTAGGTGAAAATAGAAAGGGGTTGGTTTTCTCTGTGTGGTAGGTGAGGATAAGATGAAAACCATACAGTGGTGGTAATTGTTTTGGATGGTAGGAGACAGTGGTAAGGTGGTGTTAATTTTCCAGAGACTCTTGATGCTTGCCAAGCCCTCTTTGGCATCTTTTACCACTGGGATTTGAGAAGGACTGGTCTGATTTTGAGGGTCCGTCCAGATTTGCGGCCTAGCTTTTTTCACCAATACCCTCAGGACTGACATCTGTCCTGTCGGAATTAGAGTGTGAGATTGTTAAGTGGGACTATCCAAAGACATGAAATAAACGGCTATTCTTTATTTCAGAGGTAAAAAAAATCTGAATCATAGTGTACCTCCCATTGTTTTTAGGAGGATGATATCTCTGTACTGTGATAAACAATATATTTTTCCTTGTAGGTTTTGGATTTCCATTTCCTACTATTTTGGAACTGTTAGACACAGTAGAAATAGTATTCATATTGCCTTTAATAGTTGTAAGGCATATAAAAACATTAGGGTTGCATTATAGGCCGCCAAGCTCTATTCATAAATTTCTTGCCATTTTCCTTTGACCAAAGTTATATCGAAGTGACAGTAGTCTTATCTGTGTGGTTAGTTTTCATCCTGGCACATTTTAGTTTTTCTTTTTTGAGCTCTCTGTCTCCCTCGGTGGTGTCATCAACAGGTGGAGGGAGAATGGTCTTGGTGTCTCTTTGATTATTCCCCTTCACTTAGAAAATTAGAATGCTTTTGAGACCTAAACTAATAACTTTCCATTTCTTTTAAGAGTGAATTCTTATGGAAGTATTGGAATATGGTATAACAAATATATACAGTGCTTAACATTTCTTCCCTCATGAAAAGAAAAAAAAAACCTCAATTATTTCTGTATCACTTGGAAACAAGTTTGTTCCTTCTTGACTCTGCAAGGCAGCCTTATGCTACAGGACCTTCCATCTGCTGAAAATTTATTAACCAGGCGCCGAAAGTTCTAAAATGTCACAGCGTAGCTAAATTAGTCAAATATTTGTATTGCAAAATAGATCATTTTATCTTAGGAACTCAATACCTTTTGTCTTTCTTTTTCTGACAAGAATGTTTTATTTGACAGAAAACCTGATCGTGAGAGAGTTGAGGATTTTGATCACATGAGTCGAGAATCTAACTATTTCGGCCTTTCCCCAGAAGAGCGCAGAGAGAAGCAAGCTATAGAAGAATCTCGTTTACTCTACGAGATTCAGAACAGAGATGAACAGGCTTTCCCAGCCCTTTCCGTATGTATAAAAAGAGATTTTAAGAGTTATTATTTAGAAGTCTCTTAATACAGTTTATGTATATAGTAAACCATAGTTTCTAATGGTAGCCTAATAATTTTTAAACTGAACCTTAAAGATGGTGTAGTTCTCCCTTCTTACATTTTTCATGAGGAATAGGAATTCCAGAGATATTACTAAAAAGTTGGTGACAGAGTTTAGGCAAGTATATTGGTTTGCTCACTTGTAGTATTTAGTGTTTTCTTTTGAACCAAAACATGTTTAATTTGCTAGCAAAGTAATATTCAGGTTCACGGTTTAGTTAACCCATTACAAGATGCGTCTATGAAATCAGGAAGCCCTTTTTACTGCTTATTGAACACACGAGTACCTGATACATGCAGTGAGGACTGTCTTTCAGAGTGTTCGCTGTTGGAGGTGATAGCACGTGTAATCCTGTGGCTCTGTCCTTGCTCCCTGGGTCAGACACTGGGCTGTGATGGATGCTTCTCTGATGAAAGAAATGTTCTCTACCTTCAGGTTTCTTAACTCTGGCGGGGGAGTCAGAAGGGAAAACTGTTCTCATGTAGAGTGAAGTGTGTGCTCTGGGAGGTGGGTTCATTGGTGGCACAGGGGAGGGGTAACATTTTCATTCTTGTGACTGGGAGCCCTGTGTGTATGGTCTATTAAGTCTTTTAAAGTTGCACCCAAATGACCTTTGATCCAGAATGGTGGTTGGACACTTTTTCTTAACAGTGGCTTAAACAAACAAAATGGAATGTTATGGGAGGCTACCCAGTGTGCCAGTATAAAAGGGTAAGGCCCCACACAATCAGTTTCTGTCTCTGGTCTCTGTGGAATTCCTTAGAGGTTTGAGGAGCTCAGTTGAAAACAGCTCATCTGGAATAGTAGTGCAGTCTGGCACAGGGGTTGAAGTTCAGGAGTTATTGGAAGAAGAGCCCAAATCCATTTGTGAGTAGGCATTGTTTGTGTGCTAAGTACATTATCTCTCATGTAACGTATGTCATTTTTCCATCATGTTTATATAATAACTACAAATCATTTAAGTTTATATCTTTTTGTTTTTTTTCAGTTAGTGAATTGTGAAAGGACAACTACTATAATGTGGGGACTGATTGTCAGTTTTTTTGTTGTTAAAAATGAAGTCTTCACACTCATGTTTAGACTAAGGAGTTTGATCCAATATTGGATTTGATAATGACTCATGTTTGTCTTCTAGAAAACTCCTGCTAGAGAGGGCTGAGATCCTCTTCTCAGCTGTGAGAAACATTTATTTAGAGTGCTAGAACAGGAACCCGGAACGTTCAGTGATAGTTTAGCTTAAAGACCTGACTTATTCATCCAGTCCCTTCGTTTCACCGATTAGAAGGTTGGATCTCATGCAGAGCTTAAGTGATTTGCTAGAGTCAGTAGCATTTCAATGATAAGAATCCTAGTGTACTGTATCTGCTAATTTGCACTTAGGTTTTTTCTACCCACACATGAAGGACTATGACTCTACAATGGCTTTTTTGGAAGGTTGGTACAGAAGATGCTATTGTTTGTGCAAAGAATGTAGTTGCAAGGTGAGGGTTTGGTCAGGGTGGCTTCCTGAAATGGGGATATGAAGTCGTCTACTAATTTAGGCTGAAATTTGATTGCCTAATCCTTTTGACTCAGTGATAAGACTACTAATCTAGAGTATATATGAACTCTAGATCCTATCTTTTGTAGTTTCAGAAGTATAAAAATAAAAGGGCTATGAGTTCTGAGATTTTTAGAAGTAGGAGTAAATTTCATTACAGAGCTTTTGTTCATATATTTGTGAATAAATCTTTAACACAGAATATTGGGTTTTGTTCATTTTAAAGAGCTCGTCAGTCAGTCAGTCAGCTTCTCAGAGTAGCAACCCAAGCGTCCAGAGAAAGTCATCACATGGAAATGAGAGAAAAGGAAGCAGGCGGAGAATGGATCCGGAAGAACGAAAAGACAAAGGTAAGTTATTTCACCACTGAAAGCAGTTGCTAGAGATCTGTGTCTGGTTTAAAGTTATATATTGGGAAAAGAACACTTTTTCAGTATTCTTTAAGTGTTTTAAGTTTATTCAGTGTCAGTTTATCTAATGTCACATATGTGACTGTTGAGGAACATCGATTCAAGCAAAAACATGTAAAATGTTCCAACAACTGCATTTTTTCATTGACTAAACATGGTTCAAATAGTACTTTGGCTTTCTCTGTCTTCATGTTTTGTTCTTCTGTTTTCAAACCTGAGTGGTGGCTGATGCTGCCTTTTTTATTTTGATCTGTTGTAGACTCTATCCATGGACATACTCACTTGGATAAAAAACCTGAGCCAAGCACATTGGAGGTAAAAGTTTTAAACACTAATTGCATTTTTTCTTTTTCCTTAACACCATGATAATACAATAGGAAGGAAGTGGAAGGAGAAGGTGGAGAGGATTTCAGTGCTTTATAACTACATATTAGGGTAGTAGAAAAGCAGGGAAAAGATGATGGAGATTGAGAAGTCATTCACAAATTATAATCATTTCTTCAAGGTACATGAAGATGCTCTTTCTGATTTGTTGGCAAGTGGCTTATGCTCTCCATCACTCTGGTAGATTGGTATTTTTAAGGGAGAAAGTATACTGTTTGAAGTCATGCCCCCAGTAAAAACTATACCCAGTAGTTTGATAATAAAGATGTGCAGGCAGAAGTTAACCTACACATTGAAGGCCAGATATGATTGGAAAAAAATACTCATTGGTGAGAGGGTTCTGTCAGATGTAGGTAGGGCGAATTATAAAAGGAAACCACAATTATCCCAGAATGTGGGTTTTTGAAATACAAAATTACGCTTTTTGTTTTTGCTTCCAAAGAATATTAGTGATGATAAATGTGCAAGAGTTTCATCACCATCAAAGTCAAAGAAATTAGAGTGCACGTCTCCCGCAGAACAGGTAAGTATGCTGTTGCATTTGATGTTGAATGCTCCATTCTCTGGGTTTCTTTGCTCTGTATATGATTATTTAAAAATTGTCTTCCATTAAACCGGTCCCTGGTGCCAAAAAGGTTGGGGACTGCTGGGCTACTTGGGAGGCTAAGGCAGGAGGATTGCTTGAGCCCAGGAGTTAGAGGTTGCAGTGAGCTATGATGAGGCCACTATACTCTAACCCGGGCGACAGAGTGAGACCCTGTCTGAAAAAAAAAAAAAAGGGGGGAACATCTGTATGGAAAGTGGAAGAATTTATTCAAGCATCACTATTTGGATGCAGTTATGATTTTTCTTAGGCAGCTTGTGGTAGGATCAAATTTGTTTGCATATGATTCTCAACTACTCTGTATGTGTGTTTATTTCTAAGACTAGAAGGACCATTCATACTTCACTTGTATAAAAGGCAGGCAGCTCACGGTATACATCTGATGGTTAAAAACTGTGTTTAAGCAAAATGAACTTTCGTCTTTTTCTAATCCCCCCTTTTCTTGAAGAAGCCAGCAGATCGTGTGTCTTTGTCAAGTCCAGCTCCCCTTCTGGTTTCTCCAGAGGTACATCTAACCCCTGCGGTGCCTTCTTTACCAGCCACTGTGCCAGCCTGGCCAAGTGAACCTACAACTTTTGGACCAACAGGTTAGAGAAGAATTTAGAAAATCCAACCCCCAAAATCCTTTCAAGTCAGAGACTTCAGATTCTTGTGAGCTTGACCTCAGAGCAGGGTTAGGTGTGTGGAGCCTTACAGAGCTTTCTGTGATCCTTGGCTTTGCTCTGCTTCCAGCATGGGATGGCCAACTTCATTGGGGCAATATTCATCTGAGATATGTCCTCATAATCCCAGGAGCATGATGTTTGAGCTGGTTCTCTCCACTGTGGATGCCCTGGTGGCTCTGCACTAACCAGCACCACAGTTTGATGCTTTCCCTGTGGGTCAGCTCTTTGTGGCCTGCTATTGCACCCTTTGCCAAGGCCCTGCACCTTACACGTGTTTGCAGGAGCTACGATTAGAAGACACTGACTCAAAGCTTGTTCCTGGGCTCATTTCCTGTGTGTCCAGGAGGGTCCTTGATTGATATAAAAAGTGCTTCTTTAGATTGTTTACGCACCATGTTATCAGCTATGTCAGTTATGCAGCATTCTTTAATGTAAACTTGTAGAGGGAATTATTTCCATCTTTTTGTCGTTTTGATTCCTTTCTCTCTCTTTTGTAGGTGTCCCTGCTCAAATTCCTGTTTTGTCAGTGACACAGACTCTGACCACTGGACCTGATTCTGCTGTATCCCAAGCTCATTTAACACCCTCTCCAGTTCCTGTGTCAATACAGGCAGTTAACCAGCCCTTGATGCCTTTGCCTCAGACGTTGAGCCTTTACCAAGACCCACTCTATCCTGGGTTTCCTTATAATGAAAAGGGAGATCGAGCCATTGTACCACCTTATTCACTGTGTCAGACTGGAGAGGACCTGCCTAAAGGTGAGATCCTTCTCCAGGTTCAAATTGATTTTATTTATCAAGTACAAACAGGTTTAGTGAGAAATAAAGGTGTGTAAGTAGAGGTTAGAGGTCTGGTTTTTTTAGTAAGCTGAAGGAAGGACTTGGGAAAGATAGCAGAGGTTTGACTATTAATCATTCACTTCTTTTTCAGCTTGGTTTTATTAGAAAATGTTTTTGTATGTTTTACAGCCCCTCTCCCTGTGTCATTTTTTCATAACCAGCCTTGAAACCATTCTGAATTAAGATCTTAATTATTTGACTAGATACCTAAACATTACTGAGTTTTCTCAACAATGGTCTTATTTTGGAACTGTATTACTTTATCTATGAAAACATTATGGAGAAGAGTGACTATAATATATAGTGGCTGTTATTATAGTATTATACTTAATATTTATTTTTGTTTAAAAAATTTTAAAAATTTGCTACCCTCTTTATTTTTAAGGAATTTATCCTCCCATATTTAGTTTGCAAAATTTCCTATTTGTAATCTGGAAGAATACAGTGACTTCTGTATGCTCTTTACCTGGATTTATTTTGTTTTATTAGTAGCTTGATGTTTGAGTCTATGGGTGACTGGCTAATGGTAAATGAATATCTGGACTAATACCCTTCTAAACATGTTATTAATAAATTAGGTTTATGTTGATTTTACCATTCTCCCCAAACATTTTTATTTCATAATTTTTAAAACCCCACAGAAAAGCCAAGAAATATAATGAGCACCTAAATTTCCTTTACCCAGACTGAGTTTTAATGAGATATAAAAATCTCAATTTATGCCATTTGGGGATTTAGATGTTACTGTCAACAAAGCATATTGAATCTGGAATTACCGTATAGTGACAGCCTGTTTGGTTACATCCCAGTTTTTATCTGTGTGTGTCTGTGTAGAGAAAACAATTATAGTAGGTAAAATTGTTATTAGAACTATATATTTTGATTGAGGATGACAAAAACTCAATGTATAATTTTAGTGATTATTTTATTTTCAGATAAGAACATTCTTCGATTCTTCTTCAATCTTGGTGTGAAGGTATTTACATTTTATCACTTTAAAGTTATTTTATTATTTTAAGTTAATGCTGTTTTAAATTATTGCTACTGAAATAGTGTTAACTCCTGTCCTGTCTGTCAGTAACCTAAGGTTTACTAAATCTCATCATCTTAAGAACCAGCATTTTCAGTATTATACCATTTGTTTTTGGTGCTTGGTGGTAGAGGCTCCAGTTTTTGCCTGCTTTTCTTCTTAATTGGTGATGAGTTAATCTTGTGAATATACTCAAGAAATGGCTGAGTCCCTAGGTAGTCTAGTGGAAATACCCTCACTGGGGAATTAACTAACTGAAAATCTGGGTTTGAAGTTCTGCTCCATCACACTTTAGCTGTATATCCCTGGGCAAGGCATTTAGTGTATCTCAGCCTAGCTTTCTTCATTTATAGAATGGGGGTAATACTTTTTATCTGCCGCAGTTGTTGAAAGGATCAAAGGAAATAACATGTGAAAGCACTCCTACGTAAGACGGTGCGGGTGTTCACTAGCACAGCAGACATCTTTTGGGAAGTGATCAACCTAGAAATAGCTGTTCTTAGAAAGAGAGGCTGGAGAACTCTATGTCCTTATCAATGCTAGGTTGTTTGCTGTCATAGATTAGTTATTGTGCGTCATAGTAGTTAAAATATGAAATGAAGTGCCCTACCCTGGCCTACTGACCAGTTGCGTAAAAGGAGGCTTGATTAATTTTACCATCTGCTGCATTCATTGCTTAATCTACCTAGTTAATGTTGGCTTTATCAAATTGGTTAGCCTATCAGTTGGTTATATTTTATTCACGTTTATTTGGGTTTTTAATTGAACTTTTTAGAGGAAGGATTTGGAGTATTTCATTTTCAACATTACCCTTCTCTGATTAGAAGTTTAACTTAATCCTTACAGTTGGAGGGCTCTGGGGGCTCCCAGAATTATGGAGTCCTGATGTTGGAGACCATCTACTCTTATACCAGTGTTTTCCTGGTAGAATAGGTCCACATAAGCTATCTGGCTGGCGTGGGGGTCACACTGTGAGTGAGTGGTAGAGCCAGACTGTGAATGCAGGTGTAGCTAAACAGCCAGTGATTGAGATACTGTCAACCTTTATTATCAGGACTTTGGATTGGTTTCAGGGCTGGAGCAAAGAATGGAGTCTTAAAGCAATGGTCTGATTTTGTAATTCCTTTTCATGTTGGGTATCACAGTGATCTGGTCTTTGTAGACATGAGAAACTTACTTTGTGCCCTTTACTTATAGATAGATGTCCACTCACACCTCTTTCTTTTGCCTCCCTTTTTGTTTTACTTTCCTGTTTTTTGTCTCTTTTAGGCATATAGTTGTCCTATGTGGGCCCCACATTCTTACCTGTACCCTTTGCACCAGGCCTACCTGGCAGCCTGCAGGATGTACCCAAAGGTCCCTGTCCCAGTGTATCCTCATAATCCTTGGTTCCAAGAAGCTCCTTCTGCTCAGAATGAAAGTGATTGTACCTGTACCGATGCCCACTTTCCTATGCAGACTGAGGCCAGTGTTAATGGTCAAATGCCACAGCCAGAGATTGGACAGCCGACATTTTCTTCACCGCTGGTTATCCCTCCATCTCAGGTGTCTGAAAGTCATGGACAGTTATCTTACCAGGCTGATCTTGAATCTGAGAACCCTGGGCAGCTTCTTCATGCTGATTATGAAGAGTCACTAAGTGGCAAGAATATGTTCCCACAACCGTCCTTTGGACCTAATCCATTCTTAGGCCCGGTTCCTATTGCACCTCCTTTCTTTCCTCATGTTTGGTATGGGTACCCTTTTCAGGGATTCATAGAAAATCCAGTAATGAGGCAGAATATTGTCCTCCCCTCTGATGAGAAAGGAGAATTGGATGTGCCCCTGGAAAATCTGGATCTGTCTAAAGAATGTGGTTCAGTTTCAGCAGTAGATGAGTTTCCAGAAGCCAGGGGTGAAGGTGCACATTCTCTCCCTGAAGCAAGCGTGAGCAGTAAGCACGAAGGCCGGGCGGAGCAGTCGTCCCAGACACGAAAGGCAGATCTTGTATTGGCTGCTGTTCCACCTGTTGCAGAGGGAAAGATTCATCTTCCCACTCAGATTCTAAACAGAGAGAGAGAAACTGTGCCTGTTGAACTTGAGCCTAAAAGGACCATTCAGAGTCAGAAAGAAAAACCCGAAAAAGTAAAAGATCCCAAGACTGCTGCTGATGTGGTCAGCCCTGGGGCCAACTCTGTGGAGAGCAGAGTGCAAAGACCAAAAGAAGAGAGTTCAGAAGATGAGAATGAAGTGTCTAATATTTTGAGAAGTGGTAGATCCAAGCAGTTCTATAATCAGACCTATGGAGGCAGGAAGTACAAAAGTGATTGGGGCTATTCTGGTAGGGGTGGATATCAGCACGTGAGAGGTGAGGAGTCCTGGAAAGGGCAGCCAAGCAGAAGCCGGGACGAAGCTTATCAGTACCATCGGAATACTAGAGGACGACCATACAGGGGAGATAGGAGGAGATCAGGGATGGGAGATGGCCACAGGGGACAAAACACTTGATTGTTGCTGGAGTATTTTCGAGCAGAAACCCTTTCTAAGGTGGAATGTTTCTGAACGCTTTAAAAAAAAGACAAAATAAAACCCAAATTGGAACTGTTTCCCTCTCACCCCCACTTTACCTTCACTCCCAATCTGGACAGAGATTCTGGACATGAGTTCAAGGGGGCAGGTGGAATTCCTGGCATTGCTAGTTTTCGTCATTCAAAATCTGTTTATTTATCGGGTGACTGCCCCCTTAAAAAGTAGAAGATAAGTTTGTTAAAGTATTTTTTATAAACAGCTTAATATAAAACATTATAGATTAGTGTTTGGTTTTTTTTCCTTATATAAGTTTGACTTCAAATGTTGGAAACGTGTGCTTTATAGTGTTCACTAAAGTGACAAGAAAATATACCATTTGACACACTATAGATTCCAAAACATAACATTGCACCAAATAGAAATGTATATTTTATTATGCAATGCCTTAGTCATAAACTGGGCTCAAACAATTCTCAGCCTAAAACACTGTTGTCTTTTAAAATGCTTCCAACCCAAAGGCCTTTCATCTCAATATCTGTCAAACTTGAATAATGTCTTCTCTTTAATATTACACATAAGGCAGCCTATTAACCTGTGTCTTAGAAATGTTGTATATAGTTCTTTTAATATTCATAGGGTATATTTTTGAATTTTGGTGAGTATTTGTTGAACTTGAGATTGCATACAAGAATAGATGGTTAAGAAATAGTAGGAAATTCAATGAAATGGCTGTTTCCACCAAGAATTCTTAGCACTGGTGTAAATATCATGGTGCCTACTCGAAAGAAATGTAGATGCTATGCATTTTGAAAATAATCTGCATCTGTTAAAACTGCAGACTTTTTTAATGCCACTTTAACACTAATGCACTGACAGATTCTAAATATTTTGTGAGAAGAAATGTTAAAAATTTTTAGCTGGACAGGTTTCTACAGAGAGTTACTGTTTTGTTTTTCTCCTTGCACCATTGGTTATGTGTATCACTTTACATTTGCATGTTCAACTTGTCATGGCTGGAACTATTGTAAGAATAAGATGATTGTGACTTCTAGTTCTTTTCTAGAGGATGCTGCTAGAAAATGGTTTTGCTTTGTATTTTATAGCTTGTTACCCTTAGGGTAGGTAACATGTCTTTGATCCTGCTTCCTTCCAATCTTGGCAGTATTCACTAGAGGTTCCCTTTGCATGTTGCACTCTGTTCTCATTTGGAGATTGTACTCTCTGAATTAACACAGTATTCGTTCATCTGTGTTACTTTGTAAAAATAACTGTAGCTTATATTTCTTATTTGTACATACCAATGTGAAAATTTACCCTTTTTTTTTTTATGTTGAGATTACCTTTTGATCAGGAAGTTTGAGTGCTATGCAAATATTATAGTAGAATTTCTCTTTGCATGCCATGTGTAATATACCTAGCCAAAAACGGATGTGGTGGCTTTCCTTTTTTTTTTTTTTTTTTTTTACCCCCCAAGCAAATTACTTTAAAAGCAAATACAATTCACTTGAATTTGACAGACTGAAGCAGATGGGTTTTCTGGGTTCTCTGATAACCTGTAGGAATGTTTGGATGCCAGCAAGGCTCAGTGAATCTCCACTGTACTGTAATAATGGTTATTTACCTCTGTGCTGTTTTAATTACCTAATGTCTGTGTAACTGCTGATGAGTAGTGATTAGCATTTAGATATTTTGTAACATAGGATTTTAGAGAGCACTTTGACAGATAACATTTTATTATGATGGTGCTAGGTAAAAATTTGTAAAGACTCGGATGGTTGTGTGGAAAAGAAAAAATTGAGAGAACCTATTGTAACAAATTTGTTGTCACCTTCCAAGGTAGAACAGTTGTCGAAGGTACTGCTTAAGCCATTTTTTTTCTTAACGTCAATGGCTGAATTGTGGAATGAGACGATTAGAGGGTCCTCCACTTTCAGCCCATGCTTTTTTATGTAGGATTAGCTTACCTGATAATTTCTATGAAAATCACATTTTGATATAAATACCAGATTTGAAAGTTCAGTTATCAGTTTGATCTCAGGAGTCCAAAAGTAATTGCTGTTTCCAGTGTCCTTCATTTTATTGCCTGGGGTTTGATCTCAGTTTCTGGAAATGTTTAAAAATTGGATAGGAAAGACTATTCATTTCTCCACTGTCACTGTCTTACCTCAACTGAGTAACAGAATATAGCTCCTGAAGGAAACACTGATTTGCTTCCTGTTTGCCATATCTCACCTCCAGGACATGATGGAAACCAGTGCTGAAAGAGAATTTTAGCAGATGGTACTTTCTCAGTGACCCTCTGGAATAAAAATTCTGACTTTTAATAGTTTTAAAATTATCAGTCTTTGCATGAAGGTCAGTTTTTTTTTCCTTTAGGTTTGTTTTTAAATTTATTAGTGCAGGGGATTTTGCCTTATGCTGAGGTCAAACTTAAGGCCAAGCAAGCTTTTGTACACCTTTATTTTAGCTGTATGTTGACACATAAGATGCATTTCTATGTAAGAATAGAAGCAAAAGTATAGAACTGAGAATCATTTGTATTTTGAATGGGAAATTATGAAACTTCACCATATTATGATCGTATACATCTTGAAGAACAAATGTTTAGACTGACCAAAGCTCACCTGCTCTTTCTGTTTTAGTTAGGTGCTTTGGCGGAACTTGATTCCAGCCCCCTTTCCTTTTACTGTTGTGTATCTGTCTCTTCTACAAATTCATTTCCTCTCAGAAAAATCTTCAATTCTTGCCCTGTGTGCTCCGTGGAAGCAGGATGCTGGCATCTGTGTAGTCCTCATGCTGTTTCCTGTAACTCACAAGTTCGTTTTCATGGCAGACCTAAGCTCAGACCCTGCCTCGACCTGGCAGGAGTAGGTTTTCCCATACCGCAATGCCGATGCAGCTCATTTGATGCAGACTGTGTATTCTTGCAGTGTACTGTTTCCTGTGTGACTCAAGTTTGAGTTAAAATGCCTGTGAACTGCAAACTTGCTTATGATTGACTTGGTGCAATAAAGTTCCTTCTAACCATTTCTGGTTTAGAAAACATTCAGCCATCCTAGAAACTAGCAATATTTATTTTTGCCTCATTTGTATTATCTTCAGTTTTAGATGAGGTAAACTTTTGTCTTTCACTTAAGGGTACTAAGCAAGGTCCATTCTAGTGTAGCTGAAGAGAATGCAGATTTGGCTACACTATTTCTGTTTACTGTATTTTGCTCCCTATTTTATGTCTAAATGCTATTGTTTCTGTTTAAAATCTTAATGGCTCACTTCCAGTATGTCAATTTCAAAGAACTAAGGTTTTGCTACTAGTGTCAGCCATTTACTCTCCCATTAATTGGGATTTTATTTTAAAGAGATTTTCCCCCCTGAAATAACAAGTTTTAGAAAATCTTTAGAAGAGGGGTGGGTGCATGTCTTAATGCTGGGAAGCAGCAACTTCGGGGTTGAATTTACTTGAATGGATTAAAAATTGCATTGTTAGAGAGCTAGAAAA